TCTACTCTGAAGATAAAAGTTAGGCAAAAGCAGTAGATAGACAATTCACAGAAGAGATATGGATAGCTAACAAACACAAAAAAAGTGTCTTCTCATTAGTTACCAAAGAAATGAAAATTAAAGGAATATGCTCATTTTGGCCTATCAAATTGGGAACAAGTTTTTAAATGTAAACTGTATCACTCTATTGGAAAGGATTTGGATAAATGAGAATTCTTATAGATTGCTACTGCTGTAGAAATGGACAACCGAAGGACTTTTCTACATGCATATAAGTACAACCAATGGACACAAAACTCTGGGGAGGGAGGGGATGTGTGGGAGGAAGGGAGGGGGGCAAAAAAAATCAATAAAATATATTAAAAAAAATAAATAAGTAAAATAAAAAAAAAAATAAAAAAAAAAAGAAATGGACAACCTATCTGAAGAGAAAATTTACTAAATAAATGTTCAAATTTCTAGACTTCTATTTCAAGAACACTGTAAATAAATTCTTAGGACAATCAAAATATGTTTGTAACAGTGAAAAGTTGATAATTCATTAATTGAATCATGGTGTTTCCAAACAAAAAATTGCTATATAGCCATGACGAATCATGTTTTCAAAGACTAAAAAATGACTTGGCATAATACTTCTATTTTATGTTATTTATTTATTTTTTTTAAATTAAATTATTATCTTTGTACATATACCATTGCCCCCTCCCTCCCATATATACCCTTCCTCCCCAGAGTTTTGTGTCCATTGGTTGTGCTTATATGCATGTATATAAGTCCTTCGGTTTATCTCTTATGTCCCCCAGATCTCCCTAACCTCCTTGCTGTAATTTGATAGTCTGCTTGTTGCTTTACTGTCTCTATATCTATCTTTTGGTTCTTCAGTTTATAATGTTCTTTACCATCCATAAATAAGTGAGGTCATGCGGTGTTTCTCTTTCATTGACTGGCTTGTTTCACTCAGCATGATGTTCTCTAATTCAATCCATTGGCATAATACTTCTGATAAAAATGTTACAAGACAAGAAAGCAGGATATAAAGCACTCTATATGCTCTAATCCCAAAGTTGTAAGTATCTACATGGCAGATACTGTTCAGTGCCATGAGCCAATCCACAGCTCAGACTAGAAAAGCCGAACACTCATTTTGCCATGTGGGATGGCCACATTACTTTTTTTTTAGTCCATGAGACAGAAATAGAGATATCCTAGGGGTTGGGGAATTATAGAGCTATATAGGAAAGTTTATGCTTTCCTTATAAAATGAACTGATGAAGTTGGTCTTCCTTGAATGGAAATAAAATAGAGCTGTAGTACCATTTTGTAAATGTGAGAGGCCAATGGAATTGCAAAGATATTGACCTTGGCACTGTGAAGTTGCTGGGCCAAAGCTAGCTAACACTGCCTGTTTCTGGATTTCTTATTTAGTAATATAATAATTTTGGGGGCCATTATATCTGGATTTTCTGTCATATGCATCTGAACGTTAATATAATACATATGCCTAGTAAAAGCTTCAAGATGTGAATATAATTGTTTCTTAATTAAATTTATTTGGATAATATTGGCTAGTGATAACATTCTGTAAATTTCATGTGTACATTGTTAAAATATATTGGTATATTCTATTGTGTGCTCACCACCTAGAGTCTCATCTCCTGTCAATATATATTTGACCCCCTTTACCCTATTCATCCTGCCCCAACCTACTGATAACCAGCTTTTTTTGTCATTAATATAATTATTGTTTTTGAGTGGTTAAATTATGACTATTTTTTTATTTTGGTCTTTATAGATAATTAAAATTTAAATAGTAATATATAATCAGGAAAAAATTAAAACTCAAGTATCAGACATATGACATGGTGTAATTTTTAAAAAAAACATATAGAGGGAAAAACCAAGACGGCGGCAAAGGTAAACAACTAATATGCTACCTGCCTGGCACAACAATTTCAAAACTACAACTAAAAGACAAAATGTCTATCACCCAGAACCAAGGGAAAGCTGGCTGAAAGAGAAAGGAGCACAAGTGCTGAAAAGCTGAAAATCCTAGATATGAAGGCACGCAAATTGGGCTGGTGGCAGGTGACTGGGCGCACGGCTTTTTTTCAACCCGAAGGGAAACAAGCTCCCAATCACTTTGAAATCCAATTTTTGGGGTCACGTGGGGGACCCAAATGCCTATGGGGAGATGCTGGTCTATCGGCCACCAGGTCTGAAAGTGAGGGTGACTTTTTTGCAGAGGTGCGCATAGCAATCACTGTTTACTGCGCTGGAGCGCGGGGACTTAGAAACAAGGAAAGGCAGAGAAGCCTGACAGCAGCAATAGCTGTTAGGCATGCCCCAGCCTAGTGATGTCCTGAGACCCCGCCCCGCCCCAAGGCCCTGTCCCGCACATTCTACAAACCCGCCCAGGCTCCACACAGCTGCTTTTGCTTATAAATGGCCTGTATTGTGGCAGCTTAACAAAATAACTGCAGCTCCAACTTCAAAACTGCCAAATCCCAAGCAAAGTGGAGAAAACTGTAGTTCTTGCAGTAGGTCCTGTTGGGTGGGCTCAGACAGTAGCTGACCTGCACCCCATTAGAGATCCAGGAACTAGTGTAGCTAGTGGTCTGTGTGAGATGACACCAGATTTCAACTATTCTCATAAGGGACACATTCAAGAGGCAGACTCAGTGAGCGCCAAAGCCCTACGGGAACAAGTCCTCCTCCATAAATGTGTCTCCAGCACAGCAATTCTTCCATTATAGACACAGCGGGTCCTCACAGCCAATTGGCCTGGAGGTCAATTCCTCCCAGTGACACCAACAACAATCAAGACTTAACTACAACAAGGGTGTACACAGTGTCCACAAAGGGGTGTACCAAGAGTGTCCACATCAGGCAACTGGGAGGCTGACTCATTGAGGCTGACTCATATAGGACATCAGTCCCACAAAGCTACCCTACCAACTCAGGGAAGCAGCGAAAATTCCAAGAAAAGAAAAGAGATCTCAAACAAAAGAAATGGAGGAGAACAAAAGACTGGATATAGAGTTCAAAACCACGCTTATAAGGTTTTTCAAGAATTTCCTAGAAAAGGCTGATAAATTTAACAAGACCCTCGAGGATATTAAAAAGGACCAACTATAAATTAAACATACACTGACTGAAATAAAAAATATTATACAAAGACCCAACAGCAGACTAGAAGAACGCAAGAAGAATCCAGAAAGTTGAAGATAGTGTAAGAAACCTCTGGGACAACTTCAAGCGTACCAACATCAGAATTATAGGGTGCCAGAAGAGAGAGAGCAAGACACTGAAAACCTATTTGAAGAAATAATGACAGTAAACTTCCCCCACCTGGTGAAAGAAATAGACTTACAAGTCCAGGAAGTACACAGAACCCCAAACAAAAGGAATCCAAAGAGGACCATACCAAGACAAATCATAATTAAAATGCCAAGAGCAAAAGACAAAGAGAGAATATCAAAAGCAGCAAGAGAAAAAACAGTGAACAACAAATACATATATATCAACAAGTGAACCTAAAAGTCAAGTGACTTAAAAATCTAATAAATAGAATAAACTGGTGAATATAACAGAATTAGGGGCATAAAATGGGAGGAAATTGATAATTCTCAGGAGGAAAAGGGATGTCTGAGTTGGGGGTATGGAAAGAGACTGGACAAAAATCATACACGTATAGCTGATCTTTTACAGAGAGGAAGGGAGAGAGATAGAGAGTTAGAAACATCAATGACAGAGAAACATCTGCCTCCTGCACACCCCCTACTGGGGATGTGCCCACAACCATTGTACATGCCCTTGACTGGAATTGAATCTGGGACCTCTCAGTTTGCAGGCTCTATACACTGAGCCAAACCAGTTAGGACTCTATTAAATGTTCTTGAAGACCTCTTCCGACTTTTCAGTTCATGAGACATTAGAAATTAGGAACTCTCACCTAAATTTCAATATTATCTATTCAGTGAATGTTAACAGATTTTTTTATAGCTAATTCAGAGAGAAAACAATCCAGGTGACTAGTCCACATTTGGTGAGACTTATTCTTTATGTTTAATAGAGGTAGACAGCAAATAAAAAACGAATTTAATTTTTATTTATTTATTTATTTATTTATTTAAAAATATATTTTATTGATTTTGTACAGAGAGGAAGAGAGAGGGATAGAGAGTTAGAAACATCAATGAGAGAGAGTCATCGATCAGCTGCCTCTTGCACACCCCCTACTGGGGATATGTCCACAACCAAGGTACATGCCCTTGACCGGAATCAAACCCGGGACCTTTCAGTCCCCAAGCCGACGCTCTATCCATTGAGCCAAACTGGTTTCGGCATGAATTTAATTTTTAATATTAAAGAGAAAAATGAAAAGATACACTCAGTGAATCACTAAAAAGTACACAACGTTTGTTGTTGTTGTTGTTGTTGTTAATCCTTACCTGAAGATATTTTCCCATTACTTTTTACAGAGAATGCAAGGGATGAAGGGAGGGAAAGAAAAAGAAACATGGATGTGAAAGAGCCACATTGATTGGTTGCCTCCTGCACATGCCCCCACCAGGGCAGGATGTAATCTGCAACCCAAGTATGTGCCCTCACCAGGAATCAAAACTACAACCCATCTCTGCCTGGCCTGACACTCTAACCACTGAGCCAAAAATACACAACTTTTTAACATCTAGTAAGGCAAATGATACAGTCCACTTCTCTTCACTTTGTGCTTGGGTGATGGAGCAAGGCTGCCTGACTTCCTCAGACAGATTTGTCAGAGCACTGACTCTTCAGTAACATCCTCTTACTAACTGGCTTCTACCTTTCTACAGTCCTTGTTTCATGTTCTGCTCAAGATACAAACCTTTCTTAAACATGTGTATTATTCCAGTACCATCTCACCTGCAGAGGGAAACTCCCAAACCCCCCATGTGCACATAGAAAATGAGAAGGGTGTGGTCAATTGCTTAAAAACAGTTGGCCACACAGCATCTTGCCTTTATCATTGTTCCAAACAGAAGACAATCCATGCGTCTCACAATCTTCAACCAGTTCTTGCTGCCAATGAGTGAAAACCCTTCCTGAAACAAAACAATTAGCAAAATGAGCAATAAAAGGGAAAAGGGATGTGAAGAGTAGCTGTGGTACAGAAAGCTATGTGATTAATTATCTAAAACTAGAGGCCCATTGCACAAATTTGTGCACAGGTGGGGGTCCGTTGGCCTGGCTGGCAATCAGGACCAATCAAGGTTGTGGGATGTTGGCTGGCCATGGGAAGTTGGCTGTGGGAGTGCACTGACCACCAGGGGGCAGCTCCTGCATTGAGCATCTGCCCTCTGGTGGTCAGTGTGTGTCATAGCAACTGGTTGGTCTGCTGTTTGATCAATTTGCATATTAGTCAATTTATTATATCGGGTCTAGTAATAATTAATGTCGTTTTTAAACATTCGTTTAAAATCTTGCTTGGCGTTGACTTGTATTGACATAACCTTCAAACACGTGGTATCTACAGAACGTGTGAAGTGCAATTAACAAGTTTTGCTTGAAAAAGTTTGTGTTTGGTTTGGTTTTTGTTGCAAAACTAGGGCTAAGAAGATGGCGGATGAAGAGCATATTCGGCACTGCATGCTTAGGAAGAAAAGCAAGTGAGGCTGCAAAAAACATCTGTAGTGCTCTTGGTCAAGATGCAGTTAGCGCCAGAAAATGCCAGCGTTGGTTTGAGAAATTTCGCGAGGGAAATTTTTCGTTAGATGACAAGAGTGGTCGAGGCCGTGTGTCCAATTTTGATCAAGAAGCTCTTCAAGCTCTTTTGGTGCAAAATCCTCAAATTACCCAACAAGAGCTTGCGACAACTTTAAATTGTTCACAAAAAACAATTTCCAATCAATTGCGTGCACTTGGCAAAGTCCAAAGGTTTGGAAAATGGGTTCCTCATGAGTTGACGGACACAACCGTAATCAAAGAGTCACAATTTGCAGTTCGTTCCTCTCGCGTCAAAACCATTTGCCGTTTTTAGAGCAAATTGTTACCGGAGATGAAAAATGGGTGCTGTATGTTAATTTGAAAAGGTGGCCTCAATGGTTGGACAAAAATGAGGCTCCGCAGCCCACGCTGAAACCTGACTTGCATGCGAAAAAAGTGATGTTGTGTGTTTGGTGGAATTTTAAAGGAATTCTTCATTATGAACTTTTACCATCTAACCAAACCATTACAAGTGCAGTGTATAGTGCCCAATTGGAAAGGTTAGCCCAAGCTTTAAGAGAAAAAGAACCCGCACTGATTAATCGGAAGGGCGTAATTCTTCACCACGATAACGCACAACCGCATACTGTAAGAATCACTGCTGAAAAATTGCACCAGTTGGAATGGGAAGTTCTCCCTCAACCTGCATATTCTCCTGATATTGCCCCTTCCAATTACCATTTGTTTCATTCTTTGCAAAACTTTCTTCTTGGAAAAAAATTTAATAATGAAGAATGCCTCAAAAATGCATTGACAGAATTTTTTGCATCAAAATCACAAGAATTTTACAACAGAGGGATTAAAATGCTTCCTGAGCGTTGGGCACAAGTAGTAGAAAACAATGGCAACTATATTGTTGATTAAATTTTGTTGTATTGTTTAAATAAATTCGATTTAAAAAAGTATTAGCAAACGACATTAATTATTACTAGACCTAATATAGGATGTCTTATTATTGGCAAGGCCTCTAATTCAACTTTTTTAGGTAGTTAAAGGGAGGGGCAGAATTTTCACTTGAACTGAAGCTAAAATTGCCCTTAGCTCAAAAATCTGTATACCACTGAGACACATCCTGGTGAGGCTCATTCTGAACCCCTACACTGTTCTGTTATGTGTGTAAGTATTGGGAACCATCTTATCTCTTTAGTGAAAGGAACCTTTTATTAGTTACAATGACTAACTCTATCCCATGAGTTGTGTTTTGGCTTTAAGACTATATCCAGTATTCATGCAGCAACTTCAGCTCTTCTGTTCAATATTTACCTGACATATCTTTTATTTTATTGTCTCTAAATTTTCCTACATTTTTATGTATTAGATAGGAATAGCCCATGGTCACAGAAAATAGGCTGGCAAAGGCCAGGCAGGGGTGGGTGCAGGGTGGAGAAGATCAATGGGGGAAAAACAACAGTAAAACAAAGGGACATCTGTAATATTTTCAACAATAAAGATACATTTTAAATAAAGGAAAATATATTTGTTGAAAAGATTTTTATGTGAAATAATATAAGTAATTGCTCTACACTGTACTTTATATTGTCAACTCGCAAAGAGATATTAATTGATCCTATGTGCACTTAATATTAATTGACTCTATGTTCACTGACTGCAGGACTGATTTCCATCATGCGGACCCAGCACTGGCTGCCATGGGGGCTACAATCAGATCCTACTTTTCTCTCCGGGCGTGATTGCAGCCCCTTCTATAGTCACCATGATGACCGGTTATTGCAGGACTGACTTCTGGTGTTCAGTTGAGCTTTCAGCTGTTTTGGAAATAATGGACCCTGGCTCTTTATATACACTGAGTGGCCAGATTATTATGATCTCTGAATGCATAATAATCTGGCCACTCAGTGTATATCCTATATAATAAAAGTCTAATATGCAAATTGTCCCCTCAACCAGGAGTTCGACCAGTAGGAAGGCTGGCCAACCGCCCATGTCCTCTCCCCCTGGCCATGCACGAATTCATGCACCAGGCCTCAAATATATCTATATATATATCTATCTATCTATATCTATCTATCTATCTATCTATCTATATATATATACACACACACACACACACACACACACACACACACACACACACACTGAGTGGACAGATTATTATGCATTCAGAGATCATAATAATCTGGTCGCTCGGTGTATATGTGTAGATGGATTAGTATCCCAACTGCCAGGATGACCTCCTGATATATATGTCCCTGTGCCCCAGTGTTCTTCCTGCACAATCAACATCAATCAACATGAATAGTCTCACCTTTTCTTTTTTTTTTTTTTTTAAATATATTTTATTGATTTTGTACAGAGAGGAAGGGAGAGAGATAGAAAGCCAGAAACATCTATGAGAGAGAGTCATCGATCAGCTGCCTCTTGCACACCCCCTACTGGGGATATGCCCGCAACCAAGGCACATGCCCTTGACCGGAATCGAACCCGGGTCCCTTCAGTCCCCAAGCCGACGCTCTATCCATTGAGCCAAACTGGTCTCGGTACCTTTTATTTCTTTTCTTAACCTTTTCATATTGAAAAACAAACTTTTAAAGACAGTAAATGTTTGTCATCAGACTAGCTATAAATACTCTTCTGTTCCTCTAGGATTTGCCAAAAGATGAGTTTACATTCCTAAAAGCCAAGGATTTCCATTATGCTAATTTATTGACTTATCTGACACACCCTAACTACACAGTGAGATTTATCTTCATAAGAATCTTATTGTCAGACTAGAGGCCCTCAGCCCAGCCTGCACCCTCTCCAATCCAGAACCCCTTCAGGGATGTCCTACTGCCAGTTTAGGCCTGATCTCAAACTGGCAGTTGAACATCCCTCTCACAATCCAAGACTACTGGCTCCTAACCACTCACCTGCCTGCCAGCCTCATCACCCCTAACCACCTTTGCCTGCTAGCCTGGTCAACCCTAACCTCTATGCCTGCCTACCCAATTGCCCCTAACTGTTCCCCTGTTGGCCTGATTCTCCTAACTGCTTTCCCCTGACAGCCTGGTCACCCCTAACTGCTCTCCCCTGCCAGCCTGATGGCCCCTAACTACCTCTGCCTCAGTCCCTGCCATCGTGGCTTTGTCTGGAAGAATATTCAGAAGATGTCCAGTCTAATTTTACCCTTTTATTAGTATAGATTCCTATAAACAGAAAGTTGAAGCAATTTGTTTTAGATGCTGAGTGTCTAGTTCAATCTGAGAAAAACAAACAAAAAAGGCAAAGGGCAGGAGAGGGCACACAAGTCTTGAAAGCTGAAAAAACAGTTAGATCCAAACAGGAAGATGAACTTTTTCTGTAGCTTATTAATAAAGTAAATAAAGTTGACTCTAATGATTATGGCAGCTCTTGAACTCCAATTATGTTGTCAGCAGATTTCCTCAGTTAATTAGGCTGTTAAGTTTGAATATGGTTAACATTTAGTAAAACGAATATACTGACAGAAAACTGATATACTGACAGTATGTAAAACCTACATTGCCTTTCTACCAGGCAATGTCAGACTACCCAACCCAGGGATGGCCACTGTAGATCTCAAGAAATCTCTTAGTCTTGGAAAACAAAAGAAAATGTTGTCCTTTATCCATTGGAACCCTGACAAAATCTCCATTCCTAAATCTGAGTAGGATAAAAATTTCATAGAAATTTATAGACCAGGTGAACAGTGTAGGGTTAATTCCTTGACATTTCCATTAGAAAGAAGAGTCAATTGTAAAGTGTTGACTCTAAGAGTTTCATCAATAGCTGGCTCTCTTCTTTTTAAAAAATAATTTTATAAAATATATTTTTATTGATTTCAGAGAGGAAGGGAGAACAAAAGAGAGAAACGTCAATGATGAGAAAGAATCATTGATTGGCTGCCTCCTGCATGCCCCCTATTGGGGATCAAGCCCACAACCCGGGCATGTGCCCTTGACCAGAATCGAACCTGGGATTCTTCAGTCTACAGACTGATGCTCTATCCACTGAGCCAAATCAGCTAGAGTGAATGCTTCTTTTTAATACAAAATGAAATTGGGCAAACTATTTGTGATTTCTTCTTAAAACTCTCTTGGAATTAGCAGAGAGATTTGGTCATCCTATTTAATAAAAGCCTAATATGCTAAGTGTCCAGTCACCTGTTCAACCAATCAAAGCGTAACATGCTAATGATATGCTAAGGTCATTCAACCACTCGCTATGATGTGCACTGATCACCAGGGGGCAAACAGTCGACTGGTTGTCCAGTTGCTATGACATGCACTGACCACCAAGGGGCAGATGCTCCAACTGGTAGGTTAACTTGCTGTTAGGGTCTGGCCGATTGGGATTGAGTGAGATGAGCTGGACATGACCT